GTACACTGTTAGTACACTGTTTAATGCACCGTTAGTCCGCCACAGTAGTCAGTCAGATGTACCTGCCATGCTGGACACATTGACGATGCGTCCTCTGGACCTCCTCAGCAGAGGGAGGAACACCTGACACATCTTCACTGCAGACAGGAAGTTCACGTCCATGCAGTATCTGAACGCTGTGATTGGCTGCAGCTCTGCATCCACGGGACAGTGAAGGACTCCTGCGTTGTTCACCAAACCCCACAGACCTGCAGGGACACCAGACAAAGGGACAGAAAGATCCAAGTCCCTGTCCCACTGAACTCGTTCACAATAATGTCATGAGGTCACAACAAATAGAATTTAATTCTTGTCTTCAGTTTGAACTCTGGGACTCGTGTTTAATGGATCTGTCTTAGGTTTACCTGGCGGTGTGCTCAGTGGTCTTACCTGTGTCAGCCACCTGAGTGCCGATGTACCTGTGAGCCGTCTCTATCTGGTTGTTGTCGGTGACGTCGAGCTGCAGCACCTGAAGGTTTTCACATCCTCGTCCTCTGAGCTGCTGAGCTCCAGCTCCGTCCTCATCCAGCACGCCAGCAAATACCTTCAGTCCGGACTCGCTGAGCCGCAATGCCAGAGCCAGACCGAATCCTGAATCACAACCTCCAGAGGGAAAGAGACGGCAATGAAACCTGAAACAAGGTGTGTGTGTGTGTGTGTGTGTGTGTGTGTGTGTGTGTGTGTGTTTCACCTGTGATCAGCACCGCTCTGCTCTGCAGCTCTACTCTCTTCTCAGTCTCACACATCAGGAACAAGCTGCAGCCGAGGACGGCCAGTCCACAGACCACCGGAGGACCAGAGAGGTACAGAGAGGACCCGACCAGAGCCCAGACCAAGACCCAGACCAGGGCCCAGACGGTCCAGAACCAGGTTCCACAGCCCTCTTTAAGCTTCCACAGCACGGTGAAGAAGAACACAGCTGCAGCGCTGACACAGAAACAGGAAGTGATGTCCATATTCTGACTGTCGGTGTGTTGAGTCTCTCAGCTGTCTCACCTGTTGTCTCACTTGTGTGTCACAGGTGAAGTGAAGTCAGGCTCCAGGTGATCCTCCTGCACACAGGTATGTGGTGCTCAGACCGGTTCCTGCTCCTCCCCCTCTGATACCAGCGGTGACGATAAAGATCTGTTTCTCTTCTTGTTCTCTTGATTTGTCTGAGAACATTTTTCCTTTTATTCATGAAGTCTAAATCACAGTCAGACCTTCTGTAGTTAGTTCTTATTTCTACTTTATAATACATGACATCATTTAACATCTATTGAACTATTATACACTAATAATAATAATGACAATAATAATACAAGTGATAATAATAATGATTGTGACAATAATATTAAAGGTCTTATAAGGCCTTCGCCTTGTAAGACCCGCCCCATCCGGAGGAAGGCTGGCTTCTTCCCCTCTGACACACCTGGTGAGCTACAAGGAGCGTCTGGCAGCAGTTGAACTTTCTGTCATTCTACGAGAATGCTCATTTTTGTTGCACATTTGAAATGTCCTGGCCTTTTGTTATAAACGTATTTATTTAGCTCCTTGCCTGAGTTTTCGCAACATTTGCTATGGTTGTAGAGCCGGACCATAACAAATTGGGGGCTTGTCCGATTCGAAGACTTAAGCGGTGAGTCTATTGAGTGATGAAGTTTTTTAAAATAAGAACTTCAGTGGCAATTTTCGTCTTGTAAAGAGTGTGTTGTTGTAAGTTCGCACCTTCCCTAGATGCCGATTAGGGGTGACGTAATAGTAGTGGGTTCCCTGTGTGGTGACGTCAGGTCCGGGATTCCTTTTTTTTGCGCCCGTTGTGGAAGCTCGCGTAGGGAGCAATGAGATGTGTTTTCTCATATTGTGTGTTTATACTGGTGCTATCGGCTTCATGTTTTGTCTCTGTAAAAAAAATGTTGGTCTGTTCTGCAAAAATAGTCACGGGACAAAGGAAGGTAAGTTTTGACCTCTTTGTGGCACAAATGTTATATTGACTCCCCTGTAGGAATATCACGTTTCCCATTTGGGATTCGTTTGCGGATAAATGTAGTGTGGGGTGAAAGCGGTTGTGAGCAGTTGACTCGGGAGCACGTCCATAGTGTTGGCAGTGTTGCCAGCTTGCTGGTCGCTTTGTCATACTATCGGGTTTTGGTGCATAAATACCCGCCGTCAGTAGCCCTTGAAGACTAGGGTTGAGTTTAGGTAGATCTGGATAGGCAGTTAGAGGGGATGCTCAATTTACTAAGTTGTTCCTGTGAACGTGTCATCGGTGTGAACGCGTCATCGGTGTGAACGCGTCATCGGTGTGATCGTGTCATCGGTGTGAACGCGTCACGTCATCGGTGTGAACGCGTTATCGGTGTGAATGCGTCACGTCATCGGTGTGAACGCGTGATCGGTGTGAACGCGTGATCGGTGTGATCGGCGTGATCGGTGTGATCGGCGTGAACGCGTCATCGGCGTGAACGCGTCATCGGCGTGAACGCGTCATCGGCGTGATCGCGTGATCGCGTCATCGGCGTGATCGCGT